CTTCACAAACAAGCCTTCGACGGACCGTGTGTTGATGTAAAGACCTACAAGAAAATAAAATAAGAGCCTTTAATCAGTAAAGCACATTGAGAGTAAGCAATCTACGAAACTGACAGCGTGACTACATTGAAGGGAAACAATAATTCCCCGATCGAACCAAATAGCTTGACACGAGAAAATGAGACCCTTTCCAACCTTTATCTCCCAAGGCTAGTCCAACTATTAATCAATCGGTATTTTTCCTTACATTTAAGGAAAATCGGCATTTCTCACCGTCATGCTCCCTTATAAGTAACCGTGCAGTAGCTCCACATGCTAATGAGATATCGTGCCACACAATCAAGACTTGGAAAGCCAAGAGCAATCGCCAAGTGAGCACCATCCCAACCATGTGAGGAATCGAAAGCCATTAAATGGCAACTGATAGAAAAATATCCAGGTTGGTAGAAGAAGTTGAACAGATGCTGGAATATCATAGGTATCCTAAATTCTTATCAAGTCATTCTCCGTTAGCTTGCTCGATATGTTCTTAGTAAACAAGATATCACTAGTGCTTGGATGGCCCTTTTCATAAAAACTATGTCTACAATAGCCATCGTGAGGACCTGGATCATTCGGATCACTATTACACTTTCTGGATCGATTGCATAAGATGAGCAAATCCTCAGATCATCAACAAACCCCGCTAGTGTTGGCCCATCCGAACATTTCAAATTGGTATAATTGTCTAGCAAGGAGTTTTCGTTCGGATTGCTACACTTATTTCTACCTCCGATCGACCAAGGTTCTATCGGAATTACGTACAGAACATCACAATAATCACTTGAATCCATTGTTCATAAAAAATAACTATTCACTAGCAACCTCAATCTATGATGGATCAAACTCTAGAAACACCAAATCAAAATCAATACAACCACCGGAAAACTTGAGAAAATGTTTGAACACTCAAGAATAAGGAAAGAACTTAAAGAATGGAGGAGAGAAACTCACCAAAATCTTTGAAGCTTCTTGAAGTCTACCCAAGTCACTTGAGAAATGAATGATGAAGCTTTAAGTTGTAAGAATTGGCACGCTAAACGAGTCGGATAAATGAATCCACAAACTTGTTCAAAATAATCAACCAAATGTGTGCACTCAACCTTTAGTTAGAAATATTTATCGGTCGGCCAATACTCTATACGAGACATGTTGTAAGGTCTAGACGGATCGGTAATTTTTCCTTTTGAGTAGATATATTTATCGGCCAACTAATACTCTCTATGAGACATGTCGCACGATTTAGACGAATTGGTATTTTTTCCTTTCGAGTTGACATATTTATTAGCCGACTAATACTCTATACGAGGCATGTCGCACGGTCTAGACGGATGAAAATTTTTCCTTTTTGAGTGGGCATATTTATCGGCTAACTATACTCTATGCAAGACATACCGTATGATCTAGATAGGTAGATAATTTTTGTAATACATATACATACATACATATGTATGTAGACATTTTTTTTACTGTCAAGTGGAAATATTGGTGCTATGCATGCAAAAGTGCATGCATAGCACCAAGTGGCATGCATGCCACTAATTGACGTGCACGCCACAAAAGTGGCCATCTATTGCCACATGGCAAGTGTTGCCTTGTGGCAATAGAAACCACACAGCTTCCGAGCATTGTGGTAGTAATAATATATATCTATATTGTGACTATATAATATGAATAAATAAAATGATTTTCGAGCCGTATGATTTCGAAAATCAAATAGCTTTCAAGCGATCGGTACTAAAAAATCATATAGCTCAATCAATCATGTGGAAATTTGCCGAAAATACGTCACGTGGCTTCCGAACCATATGTCATTAAAAATCGAACAACTTTCAAGTCATATGGTACCAAAAACCAAACGGCTTACAATAAAAAATCAGTATAAAAAGTTGTACCGCTCAACAAGCAATACTTCATTCTCCCAAGTGTCGCATGGCTTCCAATCATACACTAATTGCTATAAAATTGCATGGCTAGGCAAGCATGTGATAATATCCCATGACATTTTTAATGGCCAGATGATTTTCACCAACCACCATAACGAATTGTGCTACTACCCTAAATTATATGATCAAATGGTTTGTCCTATGATCAAAGCATGCCCTCAACAAAGAGTATGATTGGCCTTAAGCCCAAATTACTCTTTCATATGAGTGGAACTCATATCAAAGAGTGGGGACAAATTATAGTGGTAAAAGTTATTCCGCTAACCCGAATGGCCCAAGTCAAAAAATATGGCCCATATATAGTCCACTTAACAAACATGCCAGCTTTGGCCCAATTCATTATGTCGATCGGGCCAAATGCATGGTCTAAGACCCACGTGTCAAGTCGAGATCCCTGATAATTTATCTTTAAGATGAATCACGCTATGATTTGACCAGATCAAGAAGGAGTTATCTGTAAACGCTTGGGTATCTCAATTGAATCTTATCGGATTCAGCTCCAACCAATCAGAAATCTCGCAGAGTCCTCGCCAATCTCGCATAGACGGTTATCCCACTGCTATAAATTCAGTGGCCAATCTAACGTTCAGGGATATCAAAAACTACTCCGCTCTAAGTTACTTCTTCTTTCTTTTCGCCTAGCATTTGTATAATCCTTGACAAGCTTTGCTGACTTTACCGTCGAAGGGCCTTTGGCCGGCATCACACCAGTGTCATCTTAAGATTTCTTTTTGTGGTCCATCTTACTCGTTCTACTTTTCTAGAGTTCCTTAGGATTGCTGGTGGCCTGATCGATTTGATTTTCTCAATTGTAAAATCTACCGTCTACAATGCTATTAATCAAATTAAAAGAATTTTTCCTTTTAATCTCAAAAGGGGAATTTAAAGTCATCTTTTGAGTTCCTTAAACAACACCCGTTTTTCAATTTCATGTTGAATAAATTGAATTAATGTTGTTAATAATAAGTAATGCTAGATTAAAAAGATTAATTTAGGGAATTCTTAACAAATGAAAAAGGAAGGGGAGTTTTAAATTTCATGTTGAATAAATTAAATTAATGTTATTAATTAAAATTAAATTAAGTTTTTTTCTTGTCTGAAAAACATCCATGATCAATTTCAATCGAATAAATTGGAATAATGCTATCAATCAAAGTTAATGTAGATTAAGAAGAGATATTGTTAAAAAATTAAAAAAAATAAGGGCAAAAATGAAAATAATTCGACTGCTCTAACATGCGAATTCATAATTCAGGTTCGGACCTTGCAAGCGGGTCACTCGAAGAAGAACCCAAAACCGACTTTCAGGGTTGACCCATTTAGTCGGCAGGGATCCACATTAATATACCCGGACCACTATATAAACCCCAACTACGCAGACGCAACCCAATCAACACCGTGCTTGGCCTATCTCGACAACAAATTCCCGGAATCAGGTCAGTCGAAATTCTCTCCAAGAACCCTAATTCAGCGAATCTAAATATGCATCTGATCATTAATTTTTTTTATAAAATTATGAGCTACCTATTTTAATGTTAATAATTTTCTTTGATTCATTTGGCGCTTTGAGTTCGATAAAAGGTTATTTTTTTTGCCCTTTTCGATACATCTACAATTTTTTGTCTCTGATATTTTTGGATGATTTACGAACGTCTTTGTGGTTATTTCTTTGTCGCGGTGGTTGAAATATTCTTTTTTTTCCCCTTTTCATCACATATACAATTTTTTTTCTCTGATATTTTTGGATGATTTACGAACGTCTTTGTGGTTATTTCTTTGTCGCAGTGGTTGAAATATACTGTTTCTGCTTCTTTGCTGGAGGATTCGAAGTTAGGGTCAATTTAGGGTTAGGGTTTGGTGATCTCTAGATTTGAGTGTTGATTGATTCTGAAATTACAAAATGGATGTGGACATGGAGATACAGAAGACCAAAGAAGAGAGGCAAAAAATGGAGAAGGACCTTGCTGCACTCACCTCTCTAACCTTTGATACGGATCTCTACAGTACCAGCAAGTTTGACGGTTATGATAAATCCATCCCTGTGAATGATGATGAGGATAATTTTGATGCTACTGAGAATGAGATTGCTAAGAAGATGGCGTCTTTCACTGCTCCAAAACAGTTTTTTAAGGAGCCCCTCAGAACTGGGGATGATGATGAGATTTCAGGATTTAAACAACCTGGTAAGATTATCGATCGTGAGGATGATTATAGGAGGAGGAGGTTGAACAGGATTATATCCCCGGAGAGAAATGATCCATTCTTGGATAAGACTCCAGGGCCTGAAGTGAGAACTTACGCTGATGTGATGAGGGAAGAAGCATTAAAGCGGAAGGAGGAGGAGGTGAAGAGGGAGATAGCAAAGAAGAAGGAAGAGGAGGCGGCGGCGAAGGATAAGGAAAAAGAGAAAGAGGCAGAGAAGCCAAAGAAGAGGAATAGGTGGGATGTGTCGCAGGATGAGAGTGGTGGTGCGAAGAAAACGAAGGTAGGGTCAGATTGGGACTTGCCTGACTCAACCCCAGGAATTGGGAGGTGGGATGCAACTCCAACGCCTGGGAGGATTGGAGATGCAACGCCATCGATTTCAAGAAAAAATAGGTGGGATGAGACTCCTACTCCAGGACGATTGAATGATTCAGATGCAACCCCGGCTGCTGGTGGGGCTACACCAGGAGCAACCCCAGCGGGAATGACTTGGGATGCCACACCAAAGTTGGCGGGTTTAGCAACTCCAACACCCAAAAGGCAGAGGTCGAGGTGGGATGAGACACCAGCTACTGTGGGCAGTGCGACACCAATGGGAGGCGCTACACCTGCTGCTGCCTATACCCCAGGCGTTACTCCTGTTGGCGCTATGGATATTGCTACCCCAACCCCGAATGCTATTATGCGTAATGCTGCGATGACTCCTGAGCAGTACAATTTGTTGAGGTGGGAGAAGGATATCGAGGAAAGAAACAGGCCATTAACTGACGAGGAGCTTGACGCAATGTTTCCACAGGAGGGGTATAAGGTTTTGGAACCCCCTCCTTCATACGTTCCAATCAGAACGCCTGCCCGGAAGCTACTTGCTACACCGACACCGATGTCAACTCCACTGTATTCTATTCCAGAAGAAAATCGGGGTCAACAGTTTGATGTGCCAAAAGAGTTGCCTGGTGGTTTGCCATTCATGAAACCTGAGGATTATCAGTACTTTGGTTCACTTCTGAATGAAGATGATGAAGAGGAGTTGTCTCCTGAGGAGCAAAAAGAGCGGAAGATCATGAAGCTCTTGCTAAAGGTTAAAAACGGTACGCCTCCACAGAGAAAAACTGCTTTGAGACAGCTCACAGATAAGGCAAGAGAGTTTGGTGCTGGTCCGCTCTTCAACCGTATTCTGCCACTGCTCATGCAGCCCACACTTGAAGACCAGGAGAGACATTTGTTGGTGAAAGTTATTGACAGGGTGCTCTATAAGTTGGATGAGTTGGTTCGGCCATATGTTCATAAAATTTTGGTGGTTATAGAGCCTCTGTTGATTGATGAAGATTATTATGCTCGTGTGGAAGGTAGAGAAATTATCTCCAATCTCAGCAAGGCAGCTGGTTTGGCCACTATGATTGCTGCAATGCGTCCAGACATTGATAACATTGATGAGTATGTGAGGAACACCACTGCTAGAGCTTTTAGTGTTGTTGCCTCTGCACTTGGTATTCCTGCATTGCTGCCGTTCTTGAAAGCTGTTTGTCAAAGCAAAAAATCTTGGCAAGCTCGTCACACGGGAATCAAGATTGTGCAGCAGATTGCAATATTAATTGGATGCGCTGTTCTTCCACACTTGAGGTCATTGGTTGAGATCATCGAACATGGTCTTAATGATGAAAATCAGAAGGTCAGAACAATCACAGCTCTGTCATTGGCTGCCCTTGCTGAGGCATCTGCGCCATATGGCATTGAAAGCTTTGACTCAGTATTGAAACCACTGTGGAAGGGTATAAGGTCACACCGGGGGAAAGTCTTGGCAGCCTTCCTGAAGGCTATTGGATTTATTATACCACTTATGGATGCCATATATGCCAGCTACTATACCAAGGAAGTTATGATTATTCTGATTCGTGAGTTCCAGTCACCAGATGAAGAAATGAAGAAAATTGTGCTGAAAGTGGTAAAGCAGTGTGTGAGTACTGAAGGTGTGGAGGCAGATTATATCAGAAATGACATTCTTCCTGAGTTCTTTCGTAATTTCTGGGTAAGGAGGATGGCTTTGGATAGGAGAAATTACAGGCAGCTTGTTGAGACTACAGTGGAGATAGCAAACAAAGTTGGTGTTGCTGATATAGTTGGAAGAATCGTTGAAGACTTAAAAGATGAAAGTGAGCCATATAGAAGGATGGTCATGGAGACGATTGAGAAAGTGGTTGCAAACTTGGGGGCATCTGATATTGATGCTCGCTTGGAAGAGCTATTAATTGATGGAATTCTCTACGCATTCCAAGAGCAGACAAGTGATGATGCTAATGTTATGCTAAATGGGTTTGGTGCAGTTGTGAATTCCCTTGGACAGAGAGTGAAGCCATACCTTCCCCAGATATGTGGTACCATAAAATGGCGGCTCAACAATAAGAGTGCAAAAGTGAGACAGCAAGCAGCAGATCTAATATCTAGAATTGCTGTGGTTATGAAGCAATGTGGAGAAGAACAATTGATGGGCCATCTTGGTGTTGTATTATACGAGTATTTGGGAGAGGAGTATCCTGAAGTTCTGGGCTCAATATTGGGTGCTCTCAAGGCCATAGTCAATGTTATCGGTATGACCAAAATGACTCCTCCAATCAAGGATCTGCTTCCTCGGCTGACTCCGATCTTGAAGAATCGCCATGAGAAAGTCCAGGAGAATTGTATCGATCTTGTTGGAAGAATTGCTGACCGTGGGGCTGAGTTTGTACCTGCAAGGGAGTGGATGAGAATATGTTTTGAGCTTCTCGAGATGCTCAAAGCACATAAGAAGGGTATTCGTAGAGCAACTGTGAATACTTTTGGTTATATTGCAAAAGCTATTGGACCACAGGACGTCCTTGCAACTTTGTTAAATAACCTCAAGGTGCAGGAACGGCAGAACCGTGTGTGCACGACTGTGGCCATTGCAATTGTTGCAGAAACCTGTTCGCCTTTTACAGTTTTGCCTGCATTGATGAATGAGTACCGTGTGCCAGAGCTTAATGTTCAGAATGGTGTTCTGAAGTCGCTTTCCTTCCTTTTCGAGTACATTGGCGAGATGGGGAAGGACTACATCTATGCGGTGACTCCATTACTTGAGGATGCTCTCATGGACCGAGATTTGGTTCACAGGCAAACTGCAGCTTCAGCAGTCAAGCATATGGCCTTGGGAGTTGCTGGTCTAGGATGTGAAGATGCTTTGGTCCACCTGCTGAACTATGTCTGGCCAAACATTTTCGAGACATCCCCACATGTTATTAATGCTGTAATGGAAGCAGTTGAAGGAATGAGGGTTGCACTAGGAGCTTCTGTTATTCTGAACTATTGTCTTCAGGGACTGTTCCATCCAGCGAGAAAGGTCAGGGAAGTGTATTGGAAGATCTACAATTCGCTCTACATCGGTGCTCAGGATGCACTTGTGTCTGCTTATCCCATCCTGGAGGATGAAGGAAGTAATACATTCAGAAGACCTGAATTGCATATGTTTGTCTGATTTTGTCTGGTTTTAAGCAAATGAAGAACTACTGTATCCTTATTGAAAAACGGATTTACTTCTGTTTATTTGGGATGCTTCTTTGAGACTTAGAATTATAAACTCGGGTAATATTGTAATAGCTTGCGGTTGGATCCGCTTTGTCTTGTTGCCGAATGCTCGTTCTGTTTCACTTGTGGTATTTCTCTAAAGCTTATTTTTCTATGGATCACATGGGATTCAAAAGAATTAGGCGAATTCTTTCTTCGTGAACAGCGGAGATGCTAAGTATCGTCTAAATACCGTCTGTTGATTCTCAAGTAAACTTCGTTCATTATCATCATTTCTATCAGTTCTGAGGATGTTAATGCTATTAAATTTACTTGGATTGCAAAATCCCAAACGTGCATGCCGATGATTATCTATCTACAAATGTTCCAAGGATTTTGGAATCAGCTACCCAATCCAGTTGTTAAATATAAATCGTAAACACGTTTTAATCTCTTGCAACGAACCAGTTCAATTGTCTTGCATAGCTAAATGGATTTATTCATCATAATTTTTGTTGATTCAATAAATAATACTGCTAGGGGGATGCCGAAGGCAAGGCTTGTGACTGGAGTGAAGTAATAAGGTAGTAGTATTGGAAGGTGCAGTTGGATCACTTCATTTTCAGGGAAGCCTTTTTCGTAGTTCTAAACTATCATTTGTTGGGTGATTTCTGTGGGCGATTTCAAGAACCGCTTTCCAGAATTGATTGTTTGGTCTGTGATCAATGTATCCCATTACATATTTGAGATCAGCTTTCCTTTTGATAGGTCTTGACATGGTCCAGTTCAATTCGATTGTAAAGGGAATCGGATCGAACCAAACGTTTTAACTATTTAATAAGTGGAGCCATCGAGGTCTATTGGTTTGATTCCAACTAATGATATTTTCAATTTTAACCCGTACAAAATATCATAGTCCAATTTAAAAATATACAAATAAAAAAATTGTCTAATAAAATTCATTCATCAATGCATACAAATTATCAAAAAATAAATAATAAAGCCACAATGTCAGCGATCTTTAGGAGCAAAGATTAAGTTGTGACTTGTGAGAGGGGAGCGGTTGAAAACAAGGGCAGCTGCTAAACCTATATAACAGTGAAAAATCATATAAAAAATATTTTGAAAGTAAAAAAATACCATGTAAAATTAAGTGCCGCTTTTTACACTTTTCAATTAAAAAAGTGACACGGTGTCATTTTTTAAAGTTAAGTGTCACATTTTTAAATAAAGAAGATATACAATGTCACTTTTATTATTAAAAAAAATAAAATTGATGTTTGTTACTAAAAAAGTGAAGATAATTTCAAGAAAATGATGGAAAAAAGTGACACTTAAAAAAGACAAATACTAAAAAAAGTAATAGAAATTCAAAAAGAGTGACAAAACATTCAAAAAATAACAAAAATTCAAAAAAGTGATAAAATACCAATTAAAATATTGAAATTAGTTCAATAAAGTGATAAAAAAAAGTGACACAACTACCGTCTCTCCTCTTTTTTCGTTCACCGCCAAACATCTTTAAATCGGTTCAAACACCAATCAAAACGCCAAGTATATTTAAGACAATCCACCACCACCATCATCTACCAACTTAGCCAACCCATTAATCATAAAAAAAGTTTTTTTGGAAGTAAAAAAATAATGTCTAAAGTTAAGTGTTAATTTTTTATCAAAAAATTTTATTAAGAATTGATATTTGTCTCGCAAAAGAGTGTTAGAAATTTCAAAAAAATGCCTGAAAAAAAATTAAATTCAAAAAGTAACAAAATCTTAAAAAAGTGATAAACACTCAAAAAATTTACGTAAATTCAAAAAAGTAACATATACTTTAAAAAGTGATGAAAATTCAAGAATGTGACAGATTACGTTCATGTTAATAATTCAACATTCCACAAGAACACAAAAGGGGAACATGAACGTAGTCAACCATAGATATATTTTTTAATGATTTTCAGACCAACATATAAACGTTCAAGGATCCTTTCATGCAGCTATGTATCAAGGAAAATCAATTCTAGCTTCAAAAGGGATGCCTCTTTTGATGAATAAATGGAACCATGTCGTATTATGATTCATTTACAACATAGTATTTCATCAAATTAGAAATCTAAAGAAAGTGATTATCCAATAACACATTACACAGTTAGTCTAACGGATGGCTAATGATGATCTATATTTATAACTCGTATCCAATATACAACAATTCTATAATCAATATAGTGAACAAATTCTCGAAACACATTATTATTAAACCCACCATCCAATCTCTGTATATACTACTGGCAACTGCTTTTCCCCATCCCTCTTCCTTCCCGAAAGCCAGCCACGGTAAACCCATCTCCAAGCAATCTCCATATTGTCAATCCAAGAGTCTAATCACCATTCTCCACCTTATTTACTCTCTATGCACTTTACTTGGGTTACTATTGCTATTACCATAGTTATTACTATTCAGTCGGCGACTCGTATCTGCAAATTGGACACATTCCCATCGTATGTGAAAAAAAAAACTTCAAATTTGCAATTATCAAACATTTTGCGAAGAAAAATGAAACTAAGACTAAACCATATGGATTAAAGAGAGGCACGTTGGAATGGATGTTGAAATACCATCAAATGCTAGTGGTTGGCTCTTCCAGTGATGACAGGATATTAGGTGTGTCCACGAACCTCTAGATTGTACCATCTGTGTAGATTGTCAGAAAAGGAAAGAGGTCGAAGGCAATTTTTTGGTGGTGTTGGAGGGCTTGACAGTGTTCAAATGTTGAAGACGAAATGCCTGACACTTTTTTATCTCGTAAATCTTAACGATTGCGTACAATTATCTCTTGAATATCTTCTTTCTCACCATTAATGGAGAGAAATGAGGTAAACAGTGAACAGAAATTGATTATAATGTGGTGTATTCTTTACGGTGACAATCTGGTGAAAGATATATTAGGGGGTTTTGCGGAGGAGATTTTGAGGTTTTATGATGTGAACCCACGTAGCGAAGAATTACGAAATCCACGATTAGATTGAAATCGAACCTAAGAAAGCCAAATTTGAAAATAACGAATCAAAATAATCAACAATACGCAAACGATATGTTGACCCTTTTTATTGAATATTTGAGAATCTCACCCAATTTATTTAAATGCCACAAGAAAAATCTTGATAAGTTAATGATTTGTCCAACGAAAAATAAGAATTCGAAAGCAAATTTGCCTCTAAATCTCAATAATAATGTTTTGTTTTACAATGGAAAGAATGAGTCATATTTATAAGAAACTCATAAAACCTAGCTAAAATCGGAATTAAGCCAAAAAAAAAAATAGCAAAAGATATTACAAAATAGAGTTTTAACTTCAATAAAAAATTATGCGAAATTAGGAAAAATTCGCAACTAGAATGAACTATGCTTCCTCATTCGTTGCTTGAATCATGTTGATCCATCTGGTTTCTTATCCCGAACCCAACACGAAACATGTTCCTTTGTTTGTCATGATCAGCTTTTCATCCACCATAGCTTGAGCCAGCAATCTCATTGCCTCTTTCACTCGCTTTACTCTCGACCGTGTCATCGGACCTCATTCGATAATCAACGGATCCTTTCTCGGGCTTAACTTTGACGCGCTCGACTCCGTACTCACATCATTCATTTCCTTTTCAAAAGGATTAGTCCTCGAATCTGTACCTACATCAAAGAGAGAGAGAGAGAGAGATCAGATACATTAAAAGTAGTCAAAACAGTATACTCACAAGGAAGATCCAGCTTGTATGCATTGTCATTGATTTTCTCGAGAACTTGAACGGTCTATCTCCCCGTGGCTACAACTTTGATTTTCTTTGTTCTTGAAAGGGCTCATTGCTCAAATGTACCCAAACCCAATCATAGGGTTCAAATGAAACACTCTTCTAGTCCTTGTTAGCTTGTGATGCATAATGCTTGTTTCTGTTTTTAATTTGCAATTTCACCTTCTCATGGAATGACTTCACCAAGTCGGCCTTATTTTTCCCATCTAAACTTCCACGTTTATTTACAAGTAAAGAAATTGAATCCAATTGTGTCAGTGGATTAAAATCATAAACAATTTCAAACGGTGAACATGAAGTAGTAGAATGTATAGCCCTATTGTATACAAACTTAACGAAAGGTAAGCATTCTTCCCAACTTTTCAAATTTTTATTAATCCCAGTGCACAACAATTGAATCATAGTCCTATTGACTACTTCGATTTGCCCATCGG